TCAGTTATCTTGCTTACTGCTTTGAGCTTACTGTCCAAGGATCAGTTATCTTGCTTACAGCTTTGAGCTTACTGTCCAAGATTTCATGGGCAAGGCGCTCGGCAAAGATTTTTCAAAAAAAAAAATATATAATTTCTTTGCCAAGTGCCTCGCCGCGGCACTCGGCAAAGTATTTTTTTTAAAAAATTCAGAAATTCTTTGCCGAGTGCCTAAACAGGGGCACTCGGTAAAGAAATTATTTAAAAATAAATAAAAAAAACTTTGCCGAGTGCCTGGGCAGAGGCACTCGGCAAAGTTTTTTTTTTAAATAAAACAACTTTGCCGAATTGTCCTAAGCGGGGGCACTCAGACAAAAAGTACTTTTTTTAAAAAAAACTTTGCCGAAAGTGCTCGAGCTGAACACTTTCGGCAAAGTAATTTTAAAAAAATAATTTTTTTTGCCGAGTCTTTGGGTCGGCACTCAAAGAAAATAACCGTTAACGACCGGCGCCGCAACAACGGAAAATATTTTGCCGAGTGCCACCCCAAGCACTCGGCAAATTTTTTTATTTTGCCGAGTGCCCCGATAAAAAGCACTCGGCAAAGACCCTTTGCCGAGAAAAATTTTGCCGAGCGGACTTTGCCGAGTGCAAAGGGCTCTTTGTCAAGTGTAAAAACACTCGGCCAAGCCGCGGCCTCCAGTAGTGATACAATTATGTTTGTGTTGTAGTACCAAGAAAAAATATATGTTTGTGTTCTGCCCCACTTATGTCGCACGGAAAACACGAGTTGCAAAAAGATAGGAATAATACACTAGGCATATGACAAAAACACAATATATATATATATACGAATGATTTTTCGTGTTGTCTTGCAGTGAAGGGAGAAGTGATGTGTTTCGTATGTTCTCGTTGGGTCGAGCCCTTCACTGCACGTATTTGCTCCATCTCAACCATCTTTAATTTCCACCTGCTGTCATCAACAAGACAACACGATCAGGGATAAAAAAAAGACTATTCTTCTAGTATAACGGAAAATGTACGCACAAACATGAACCTAATCCACCGAGGCAACGCTACGGTACTCCCTTTACTATTAGAAGGTAATACCCAAAAAAATATGAACCATTGCTTTTTTTAGATTTGTTGAACTAATTATTTATTTAATCTAAGAAAAGCAAAAGGAAACATTGTCAAATGCCCACGTCACACGGGAGACAACAAGAGACGACCCCTTCTTCTTTCCATGCACAGCCTTCCTTTTTTCCCTTTTCGTGTCTCGTTCCTTCTTTTCTGATTGTATCCTTTCTCTTCCTTTTATACTAGAAGCATACCCCGCGATTTTCTTAAAAATAAATATGTTTTATATACACCGTTACTTATATGGTATTCTGTATACTGTGTATATATACATGAATTTGACTTGCATCATATTTTATTGTATCGGATCCGGTAAAAAATTAGTAAACTAATAGAAGAAAAACTAATAGAATATTAGATCACATTATAGAAGAATAGGTGATGGAATAAATAGCATATGTAAATGACTTGACGTTAGTAGATCATAATTGCTAGCCTACACCCGGTTGTTTCGGGAGCAGGTATCAACCGGATTTTTGGCCCTTAGATTAGATAGGTGTTGCGTTCTGGACGATAGGATCTGCCTGTTCGCTGGCGCTCTCTCCGTCGCGGCCGCTGCTTCGTCTCCGGACAACAGTCGGGTGTGTGTGCGCGGCTGACCAGGGAAGGCAAGGCAAGGGATAATTTGTATTTTTTCTGAAATCTGTGCATAATTTGTGACCAATTTGATGACATTTGCGAAAAAATTGATATACATTTGTCATAGAAAAATAATATGATTGACGAGTGCATAAACCCCAGATATCCTCACCAACCCTATTATCAGCACTCAAAGACAGATTAAGCCAAGCCAATTGGCTTATGTCACCACTCGCGACTTAGTGGCGCTCCAGCCAACTGGAATCCCAAGTTGGAGGGCGCCAATCGACACTCTGGGGCTCCCGACTGGACCTCGTCCACAAATATCAAGCCGCTGGTGTCATATGTGATCGATTTTGCATGTTCATCTGGGTAAATCCAATTGATGCCTCCGCGCATGGAGATTAGTGAATAACTTGTCGTTGTGCAGGCTAATTTCTAACAACAGATATAGATAATGCACTGCATCTATAAGAGGACACTAATTAAGATCAGAAAAATGGACCATGAGTGGTTATTTTGTTCAGACATGCATATTAATTTGGACAGTCTTATGAAATTAAGTGTGGAGAGGTGCAATGCATATTGAGAGATCATACCTTCTCAACGACACTGGGGGAATTTCCAGGAGATGTACATTTTGGTTCTACTGCATTTAGACTTTGAACTATGTCCAGTGAAGTAGGCCTTTTATTCGACTCAGGTTCTAGGCACTTCAGGGCTATAGAGATGCATTGTTGCACTTGTTGGATACACATTTCTGGTGACATATGCATGGTTGTTATTTCTATAAGTCTATTCCTCCAACTTCCAACCACCTAAACATTTGCATAAGTAATTTATCAGAAAAAGACATTTGCATAAGTAAGGTAGAAAATTACAGCATGTAATAATACTGATCTTACTTTGTCTGTGTAGTGCTTTGAGAGATGTTTCAGTTGTCTCGCTGGTATTGGGATAGTCCCTGCGACCTGTGATTATCTCTGTGATAATGACACCCAAACTGAATATATCTGCCTTAAAGGAGATAGATCGCTGTTCTATGCATTCTGGTGCCATATATCCACTGCAGAAGAATTTAGCATAATCAGCGGTAGGAAATAGTGAAAAAATGAAGCTTCAGCAAGAGGCATAGCTTACGGCGTTCCTTGAAGCTTTGCAGTGACAGTTCTGGATTTTTCTTGACTCAAAAGCCTTGACAAATCAAAATCCGCAATTTTTGGCATCATCGTGTCATCCATCAGTATATTTTGAGGTTTAAGGTCCCGGTGAGCAATACGATGTTTATCATGAAGATAATGCAAACCTCTGCATACTCCCGTAATTATCTTATATCTCTCGTCCCAATCAAGGCCCGAGGTCTCATCTGTAGAAATAGATCAACAAACAGAGAAACTATAATTGAATCTATCACTCTGTAGCTGTTGATATAATGACACATTTGCTTGTGTGTTCTAAACTTCTAATCAGGTAAATTTTGCAAAGGAAAAGAAAAGGATAGAAGATCTCAGTATTGTATTTCAACATACCAGATAGATGCTTGTCAAGGCTTCCATTACAAAGAAATTCAAAGCAAAGCAAACATGCACGTCTTTGAGCGACAACATGTTTCCCACTATATTCCATCACTTCCGACTTGGTTTCGAGACAGTAACCTACAAGTTGTACGATATTTTGGTGCCTGACCTCCGTAAGACAAATGATCTCATTCTCGAATCGGTTATCATTGTCCAGCAGATGTTTATCAAAAATGTTCTTTACAGCAATAGTTTTGCCACTCCGGAGAACTCCCTTAATAGGATGTAGGTAAACAATTCATTATCTTTCGGTTGCCATCGCTTGAAATTGGAGTGACAGAAGAATGGACATACCCTGTACACGACTCCACACCCACCCGTGCCAAGTACTCGTTCAGTGGAAAAACCGCATGTGATGTCTTCCAAAAAATCTAGTGGCAAAGATATTAATGGTTCTGTTTTTGGATCCTGCAGCCTTTTCTGCAATTTTTTTCTCCAATATTTCACGTTTAGTAGCTCCACTACCCATTCCTGATTACTTGAGCACTTTTATAGGAAAAACAAATGTGGGTGCTCCAACTTGAAAAATAATTTCTCACAAATGCATACAGGAGAACAAGAAACCAGCGCTATTGTGGGCTAGGAAATTGATACGAGCTGTTTTGTATGAATCAATATAAGCATATCAAAACGAATGATGGAATAAACAAAGAATTCTTGTCGAGTAAAAATGACAACTTCTAGATAAATCACATTTGATACTAAAAATAATTCAAAATAATTCTATGTATAAATGTAACAGTAATATATTACAAAAAAATCACTCAGATACCAGAAAGAAAATATAAAGTATATGCAGTATCCAGATTTATAATGATTATTGATAAGAGTTCTAAACTCCACCATAGGTTGAAAACAGAGCAAGTGAGCAACCATGAAAAAGGCAAGAGCAAGCATCTGAGACATTGCTTGCTAGTGAACAAAAATGGAAATAAAATTTTAGGAGAGATGGACTGACCCCTTATTGAGATGTATAGACAGAAAATATGAAGACAGGATAGGTCACAGGTAGGATCTGCTTCAACAAAGGGGATTGCCAGAAGACAGCAGGGGATGAATACATTCCCATCCTCTCCCAAGAAAATTTTTTGCTAATGATTAGGTAACCAGAGCAGTATGCCTCAGCAATTCAAACTACCCCATCTACAAATTAATAACAACCAGAGCAGTGCAATGGTTAAAGCAGAGCATACTTGGTGACCTTTAACAGAAAAACAAAGTAATAACAACTGGAAAATAGTAAACAAATACAACACGACGGGATGTATGACTGATGCTTATTGGGTTACGTCTTAGTACTTGATTATCTTTTTATGTGCCTGATGATGTCAACCAAGTGTTGCCTGTGATCTGTGTTGGAGATGAGTAGCAGATATTATTTACTATGGCTCGCTACCAGGATCGAGGGCACGCTCACCTCACCTGTACGTGGTTTGTTGGGAGAAAAAAAATCAGATAACTAGTAAAGACGAAAGGAAAGTGGAAATGCCAAAGCAAGAGAGTTCTTCAATGGTTCTGCATCAACACTTCCTGTGAGCTTCCATGCATCTGCTTCTTACAAAAAGCTTCAGCGAGAGAAGAGAGAAAGAGATGAGAGAGGAAGAGGAGCTAGCGCACGCTCATCTGTGCGTGGCTTGTTGGGAGAAAACCCAGATAATATAGCTAGTAAAGAGAGAGTGAAAAAGGCCGAACCGACAGTTGTCAGTTTACAGGCTCGATTGCGGTGATGGACATGTTTCTTTGCTTCAATGGTCCTGCTAAAACATTCCCTGTGACCTGCCAAGCATCTGATGCTTACAAAAAGTACAAGCCGAAAGAAGAGGAAAACAGAGGGGCAGGCTTAGTGGCTAATGGATCGTTTTTGTGTCTGAACTCTATCTGGAGGCTTTATGTAAAGCTTCCTGGAAGTGCCTTAGTGCGGTCTTCCGTGTATCATTTAATTTCCACTGAATTAGTTTACTTTCAGGCTAAAGAAATTGCCACCTTGCAACTTTGCGACTTTGCGAGCATTGGAATTGGATCCCATTGCCCATTAGAAATGATGCAGAAACAGAAACCATTTTTTACTCATCAATCATCAAAGGGGACAACCAAATCTCCACCCAATTCGCAAATAGGAAGAGAAATAAACAAACCTCCAAGCAAGAGTGAGGTTGACGCCGAATCTGAGAGCAGCAACGACGACGTCGCCGCCGCCGGCCGCAGCGGTCGTCTCCAGTCCAGGACCGTCTTGGAGCGAGGTACAGAACCCACACGGCGCCCATGCCGTCCGTAGAGCGCTTCAGCACTGTAAAGCACGCCAAGGAACGCATCACCGGCAGGTCGGATGGCCAGGAATCTCGCAGCAAAACAACTCCCCAGTCCCCACACTGGACCGATCTGATCTAAATCGACCTCCATGGCCCATGGAAACTAGTCCTCAACTAAGGGAGCTACTAGCAGCCTGGTATGTTCACCGGCCGGATAGCGAGGTCCGGGGGTCCCCGCTCTCTCTGGCGCCGCCGGGGTAGTCGACGGACCCGGCTAGCTCGGCGCCCGCGCGGAATCCCCTGTTTTGCGAGCTTGTTACTGTTGCAAGGAATAGAGCACTTGTTCTTGCTAGCTAGAGCTGTCATCTCAGAATCGCTATGATAAAACTCTTCACTTGATGTGCCTTCCATGCTTTGAAAATCAATAATTTAGGAACTTTGGAACGCGGGGATTTCGTAGAAATTTCACAGAAATTTCACATGATTCAGTTTATTTTTTAGAAAAAAAATATAAAAATGGAAAAAAAAATCCCGCGTTTCAAAGGGGCTTAGTGAGTGAATTTCATTGTTTGTTTTCCACATTTCCTGCCTCTCCATTTACCTGTTGTTCCTAAACTGCAATCCCTCACTAGCTAGATTAGTTTTTTCCATTCATTTTAATTTTACTCAATCAAAAATCAAAATAAATATTTAATGTTTTTGTATTATGAGAGTACAAAGAATTGCATAACCAAAAACACCATTTTTTTATTAAACTTTTCTCAACTGATGCGCAGAATCTTGTATATGGGGGCCCAAACTGAGTATTTAATATAAAAAATGTTTCTGTGCCTCCGGCTATCTATTTTGGTCTCTTACTTTAACAGTAAACAGTAGAGTGTATCCTCGTGGACTTTGTATTTCAGTAATTTCATATGCTTCAAGAGTGAAGTTATTGTAAACTAAAGTATTCATTCTCTAATCATTATGTAATCTAACATAATATTGAATAGAAACAAATGTTTCCTTACATAAAAAGAAGCAAAATATCAATATTTCTATCTCGACCATGTGGCGGGAGGCGTGTGTTCATCTCACTAGAACATGCGGAATAAAAATTGGTCAGTTAAAATAAATATCAATATCAGTAATCTAGAGAGTTTTTTTTAATTGTAATATAAAACAGACAATATTGTTGAAGTTAAAAGAAAGAGGATAGCTGCTGTCGGGCCAAAACAATCTCGGTTTGGGCCCGTAGTCACTTCGGACTGCTTGGCCCCATGCGAGAAAGTCGCAGGGATGGGCAATTAAAGGTTTCGCTCATCGCTCAAAAAAAAAGTTAAATGTTTCGCTCATAGCCCTAATAAACCCTAACCCTCGCCACCATTGCATAAGCTATCTTTAACTGTTTGGTTCAATAGTGAGGCGTGAAAAGCGGTTTGTGGGTTGTAAAAAAACTATTGTGAGCTATATGATGTGATAAAGTTGTAAACTATTTGGTTAAAACAAGGAAACAAATAGACGGCTGTAGGTGCTGCTATAGCCAACAATAATGGTTTTAGCCATTATGCCGCTATTTTTACTCACGTTTAACTTAGCTGTTTTAACCCACCATATATAGCCACGTCTTAGCCTTAAAAGAATCCTGCGCTAAATGTTCATAGCCGGCTATTCATTACACTACGTTAAAACAACTATGAAATATCTCTCTCTTTATCTCCCTTAAAACAGTTGTAAAAATCTCTCCATTTTCACTCATTTGGAAAAGCTAAAAAGCAAGGTTTAAGATGATGCGAAAATCATTCTACGTGAAAGCGACTGTTTATGAAAACAGCTTCTGATTCTACGCAGGTATGTATCATCAGGCCTCCTGCTCCCTGCTATGAAGATAACACACCCCCGCCTCCCCCAGCAAAACCAACCCCTGATATTTCAGTCATCTTCAATGAAGCGACTAGGTTGCTGAGAGCTACAATGCACACAATCATATCTCGAAGGACATAATTGGTGCAGGTACTCATGTTTTCAGTTTGGTGGCTTGCATCGGACTATGCGCGGCTAGATTTGCATCGCATGGCTAGTCTAGTGTTAGATAACACCGATAGGCGGCGCAAGCGGAATCGATGGTGTGACATCACCTACTTGGCCTGCTGCGGACTACGATGGCCAACATTGCGTGGCAGATGTTGGATTGGTGTGGGACAACGTCAATGACAACGGCACAAGTGAGGGAGATGGTGTGTTGGCTCGACGGCTTTGTCATCCGAGTGATACTGCTGCAGCATGGTAATTGGCGTGTGGTGGTGTGGTGCTTTAGGGCTCAGCTTGTAGAGTGGTGTAGCAGTTTAGAGTTGTGTTGAGGCGGTGTGCGTTGAGGTTCCAATCCAACTGGTCGTTGTCTATAGTTGTTTTACTTGCTAGTTTATTGTTTTTTTTAAATGTGCTAGTTTATTGTTTGTGAAAGGGCCTCTTGCTTAGGTTTTGGGTTCGACTCCCCATTGAAGCGAAATTTTAGGCTAGGGTTAAAGAAATCCCCTAGTCTATCCCACGCGCAAAGCACAGGTCCAATGCTCAGCCCCGATCTTAGTCATTCTCACGTGAGCTAGGGTGCGGCTATGTATGGGTGGAGCATAGATTTTTTTAGTTTATTGTTTGTTTCTTTTTTTATTGCCAAGCCCTTCTGGGGTTTTCATTACTTTTTTGTTTTGCCTTGTATGAGTTTCTCCTTTTTAATATAATCGGTAGCTCCATCGTCTACCAATTTTAGACTGCCAAAAGGCTATATTTTAAGAGTACGGGATCTATATAAGAACGTAGGACAAGTTTATTAATCACCGATGGAATTTAGTCATCTACCAATGCTCCACGTAGCCTTTATTGTGCATAGCAGTTCCCCGATCTGGTATGGACAGACAGGGAGAAGTCTAGGCCTGCTTAAATTAGAAAGCTTTCATCTGATAGAAACTTAGATAGAACATCATGTGTATTCTCTTTCGCATTTTTTTTGTGCTCATCGAACGGACCTCTAAAATAGATCTGGAAACTCTAGCGGAGAGACGGAGATGTTCAATGTAGGGGACGCAGAGTCTACTCTAGCTCTGGCCCCTCTCCAGTAAATATTAGAAAAACCGAACACACCCAACAAAACTAATGGAGCGTGCGAAGCTCTTGCAATCGTAGAATATGATTGTAATATAGTGCATTAAGTCACATTATTGAGATAAAAAAGTGCTTAACCGAGGGAGTAACCATGCATGTTTGTGTTCTGCCCCACTTATTTCACAAGGAAAACAAGAACTGCAAAATGATCGGAATGACACTAGGCATATAACAAAAACACAGTCTATGAATGGTTTTTTGTGTCATGTTGCAGCCGTAAGAGCGTAAGAACCGGATTCGTCCATTCAGGGAGAAGTGATATGTTTTGTTTGTTCTCGTTGGGTCTTCGTTGGGTCAATTCAGTGCACATAACATCCGGATTCACCCATTCACAGAGAAATATAATGTTCTGTTTGTTCTCGTTGGGTCTTGGAGCCCTGCACTGCACATATTTGCTCCATCTCAACCATCCTATTTCCACCTGCTGTCATCAAGAAAACAACACGTACTATGAGGGGGAAAAAAGATTATTCTACTATAACGGAAAATGTATGACACTCGTGAACCTAACTGAGTAAATAACTGGCTAAGACGCAGACACAAGTGTCCTAACATAGTTCTGTAACTGTAACCATAGTTTATACTGCAAACAAGTGGCATACGTACCATACAAAGAGAGCACGGGCCCACTTTCTTTTGCAAGCAATCTACAAAAATGAGCCTCTCCTCAGTGGCTGGTCAATTTCCTTCAACTCTGGACAGTCATCAATACATAAATCTCTTATGTGTGTAATTGTGCCTGGTCCACCAATAGATTTAAGCTTTGAACAACTATAAAACATCAATCTTTGAAGTGATCTGAGATTACTGCTCCACAGGTGGCCAGGAACAGACACTATACATTCACAGTCACGAATCTCCAGTGACTCGAGGAAGGTGAGGTTCTCCAGGCAACTTGGAAGCCAGGCAGAGAAATCCCCACAATTCCATAACGTGAGCTTTTGGAGAGACCGTGCTAACAGCATTCCACTCTGCCAGTTGAGGCCTTGACAGGCTGAAATCTTCAAATCTTTCAGACGAGGAAAACTTCCCAATCTATGAGCTAGCAGGGACAGCAGCAAGCCAAAATCCGTAATCGAAATTCTCTCAACGGCAGGGAGATATAGGAGGTCATCTATAGTTTTAAGCTTCTCGCAGGAGACAATGGTTAGGTGGGCGAGTAAGGGAAATTTTCCCATTCTGCTTTGGGCCCCACCGTGGAAAAGGTCAGTGGATATGGGTTCTGAATCTCTAATAATTGTCAAAGAAGAACAACGAATGATCTCAAGATTCTGTAGTAATGGAAGATTCCTCACTTGCAGTTCGATGGCTTCTAGGAGGCAGTCTGATAACTGCAAGATGGTGAGAGAACTACACTCAATGTTGCCTCCGAGATTCCCAGAGTTCACCAGATACAGCTCCTTTAGGGATGGGGCAAACAGATGCTCTGATTTGATCAGTGGACAATGGGATACACGCAGTACTCCAAGGAAACACAAATCTCCAAACATATCTGTTGGTACAGATTGTAAACTTCTGCAATAGTAAATTTCTATTTTCTTGATGATAGGCACATAAGCTGGCTGTAGAATTGTTCGAGGCTTGATAAGTTTTGGCAACTGTGAATGACTACATCAGTCAGGGACTTGAAAGTGCTATCAGTGGTTCTATTTCTGTCCTCACCATGGAAAATGCCAGAGGATATATGTTCTGAACCTCTAATGATTGTCAGAGAGGGACAAGAACTGATCTCGAGCTCCTGTAGTAATGGAAGATTCCACATTTGCAGTTAGATGGATTCAAGAGGGCAATTTGATAAATGCATGATGGTGAGAGAACTACACTCAATCTTGTATCCGAGATCCCCAGAGTCTTCCAGATACAGCTTCTTTAGGGATGGAGCAAACAGGTGTCGTGATTTGATCTTTGGACAATGGGACACACTCAGTACTTCAAGGAAACAAAAATCTCCAAACCTATCTGTTGGTACCGATTCTAAGTTTCTGCAATTGGAAAATTTTATTTCCATGATGATAGGCATATAAACTGGTTGTAGAAATTGTTCCTGGCTTGATAAGTTGCTGCAATTTGTAATTTCTACATCAGTCAGGGACACGAAAGTGTGATCAATGGCTCTGCTTCTGGCCTCACCCTGTAAAATGTCACAGGATATAGGTTCTGAATCTATAATAACTGTCAGAGAGGGACAAGAACTGATCTCGAGCCCCTGCAGTAACGGGAGATTGCGCATTTGCAGTTCAATGGATTCAAGAGGGCAATTTGATAAATGCAAGATGGTGAGAGAACTACACTCAATCTTGTGTCCAAGATCCCCAGAATCTTCCAGATACAGCTTCTTTAGGGATGGAGCAAACAGGCGTCGTGATTTTATATTTGGACACTTGGACACACTCAGTACTTCAAGGAAATGCAAATCTCCAAACCTATCAGCTGGTACTTATTCTAAACTTCCACAATCTGAAATTTCTATTTTCTTAGGCACATAATCTGGTTGTAGAAATCGTCCGAGGTTTGATAAGTTTCTACAATCTGTAATTTTTACATCAGTCAGGGACAAGAAAGTGTTATCAATGGCTCTGCTTCTGGCCTCACCATGTAAAATGTCAGAGGATATAGGTTCTGAATCTCTAATAACTGTCAGAGAGGGACAAGATCTGATCTTGAGCTCCTGCAGTAACCGGAGATTGCACATTTGCAGTTCAATGGATTCAAGAGGGCAATTTGATAAATGCAAGATGGTGAGAGAACTACACTCATTCTTGTATCCAAGATCCCCAGAGTCTTCCAGATACAGCTTCTTTAGGGATGGAGCAAACAGGCGTCGTGATTTTATATTTGGACACTTGGACACACTCAGTACTTCAAGGAAATGCAAATCTCCAAACCTATCAGCTGGTACTGATTCTAAACTTCCACAATCTGAAATTTCTATGTTCTTGATGGTAGGTACATAACCTGGCTGTAGAAATTGTTTGAGGCTTGATAAGTTTTGGCAACTGTGAATGACTACATCAGTCACGGACAAGAGAGTGCTATTAGTGCTGTCGTAACTGTGAACCTGCTGTGAGTTTGGGAGAGAATCACCATTATAGTTTATGAGCTCAAATTGACTCTTCTGTCCTTGGTCTGTTGCACCTTTAAGAGTACCAACTGAATGTATATGATGAAATTGACATTTCACTGATTCAAATTTCTGCAGATTGATCAGCATACCAAAGGCTTTGCTGTTGTTGTTGTTGTTGTTGTTGTTGATCAGCATACCAAAGCCGCTAGGAATGTCATCAATGCTCCATTTCGTAGCATTAAATATTTGCATATTATAGAGGCAACAGAATGCTGAAGGAAGGCTCTTGCAAAGGCTAGAGTCGAGGATTTGAAGGTACCGAAGTAGCTTCATGTTGCTAATATTACCTGGTAAGCCCCACTTAGAGATAGAACAGACCATGACACGCATGCACAAAAGTTCATTACACCATTTCTCCATCACAGTATTATCAGCTTCACTCTTTAAAGACAGGTGGCAAAATAGGGTGCGCAGCTTTCTAAGCCGTGCCATGTCATTCTTCAATAAGTCAGAACACTGAATATCTCCGCCTTTGACCACTGACAGATGGCGGACATTCTGAGGGATCTTAGGAATATCATTTTTTTCTTTTACTATAAAGCACTCATCCTTTGAAACCAGTTGTGCCATGTCATGCATCAAATCATGTATTACATATTTCTTGTGGGACCGTGGATATTTCTGAAAAAATGACAGATGTGCAAGTTCTTCAAAGTACTGACCACCAGTGTGATGTTCCACTAAGCCTTCTGCCACCCAAATCTCCACTAAATCCTCCTTTTTGAATATGTAATCTTTCGGGTACACAGCACAGAATGAGAAGCATCTCTTTAAATACAATGAAATACATGTAGCTCAACCGAAGAGCCGGCAAAATGTCAGTCTCCTTTTGTTGAAGCTCCCACAGCTGACTCTTGAGAATCCTATCCCAATGTGCTAGCTCAAGGCTCATTCCTAACAGCCGTCCTAGAGTTTTTGCAGCTAAAGGAGAGCCTCTCAACTTTGGGAGTATTTTCTCACCAATCCGTTCCAACTTAGGATCAATGTTGGAGCTATTAGGCCCAAACACACAGGACTTAAAGAACTTCCGAAAGACATCATCTTTCAAACCCTCTAAGGGAAAGGAATCCATTGTACGCACTACATCAGCAACCTTCGGAGACCTAGTGGTGACAAGCATCATGCTTCCCTGAAATGCATTTTTAAAAGGTGCACACAAGTGCTTCCAATGTTCCTCATTTTCATCCCACATGTCATCAAGGACAATCAAGAATCTTTTCTTGTTCACGCTATTTGCAAGAGCAAGCTGGAGAGAATTCAAGTTACCATTTTCTAGCACTTCCCCAGAAGTTTGTTCTATGGCTTCTTTAGTTAACCTCTTGACATCAAAATCATCCGATACACAAATCCAAATTATCAGGTCAAAGTGACCTTTCACTTTTGAATGGTTGCAAATATCTTGAGCCAAGGTGGTTTTTCCGACACCCCCAATTCCAACAATTGGCAAAACTCGAACACTCACTATTGTTGCTTCGTTACTATCAATAGTAGCACAAACTTGGTTGCTTGTTGATGAACTGACTCTTCTTTTTCTCTTGCATCCGGAACGACCTGAGCTTTTATTTGTTGGTACACCAAGTAACATGATCAGTTTCTTCTTTTCCTCATCACGACCAATCATCTTTGCTTCAGTGGAGAAAAAGGAGGTCTCGGGCCTAGATGATTTGTCAAACTTTGGAATTGCTGGAAGTAAGCCCTGTTTCTCAAGCTGCTTGGAGAGATTATTGAGCCTCTTCTGGATACCAGTCACCTTGTTGAAGTTACCTTGAGTGACACTTTGAAAGAATTTAATAATTGGTTCCACTGAGATAGCATTGCCCTCTACAGAAACCTTTTTCTCATACCATCTAAACTCATCGAGAAGGTCTTCTGCATCATACACTGCATGAGTCTTGAAAGGAGGTCAGCCACAGAATCATGATGGATCCTCCACTCTGCTCGATCAATGAGGTTGTCAATTGCTGGTAGAGTATCAGTTAGGCATTGAAGGTCACTATGCAATTGACATATATCTCGTTGAAGTCTCTCCTTTTGTGTTTCATTCAGCTGAGGTTTTGGAGATGAAATGGCCGATGTAACCCACTGGAACAAATTGGCGCACTCATTCAGGCCGTTAATGGCACTGGTGGTCTTTGGTATGTTGATTATGTTCACATTTACTTGACTCTGAAGATTCCGGTTTCTCCTATCCTGAACAAACAGTGGATGTATTGAGCATTAGAGCATTATATCTTGTGGTCAGATTTTCAATGTTAGTATAAAAGGTACAAATAGGATATTGCAGTTAAGACGTCAAATATGTCACATTTTTTTCATAGAAAAATAATATGATTGACGAGTGATAAACCCCAGATATCCTCACCAACCCTATTATCAGTGAAAGTAATTTAATTGCACGGGAAAATAGTAGATTGATTATAGGCCATGGTATACATGTACATATATAAGCAAGGATGGCCTAGGGTGGTTTATGGATACAGGACCACTATCGGATATTCTTGCCTATTATGAGTAGAATCAATCTATAGAAACCGTGATGGGCTTAAAGCCCAGGCGCCTATGGCGGGCCAACATATCTGTCTAACTATCAGCACTCAAAGACAGGTTAAGCCAAGCCAATTGGCTTACGACACCACTCGTGACTTAGTGGCGCCCCAGCCAACTGGAATCCCAAGTTGGAGGGCTCCAATCGACACTCTGGGGCTCCCGACTGGACCTCGTCCACAAATATCAAGCCGCTGGTGTCATATGTGATCGATTTTGCATGTTCATCTGGGTAAATCCAATTGATGCCTCCGCGCATGGAGATTAGTGAATAACTTGTCGCTGTGTAGGCTAATTTCTAACAACAGATATAGATAATGCACTGCATCTATAAGAGGACACTAATTAAGATCAGAAAAATGGACCATGAGTGGTTATTTTGTTCAGACATGCATATTAATTTGGACAGTCTTATGAAATTAAGTGTGGAGAGGTGCAATGCATATTGAGAGATCATACCTTCTCAACGACACTGGGGGGATTTCCAGGAGATGTACATTTTGGTTCTACTGCATTTAGACTTTGAACTATGTCCAGTGAAGTAGGCCTTTTATTCGACTCAGGTTCCAGGCACTTCAGGGCTATAGAGATGCATTGTTGCACTTGTTGGATACACATTTCTGGTGACATATGCATGGGTGTTATTTCTATAAGTCTATTCCTCCAACTTCCAACCACCTAAACATTTGCACAAGTAATTTATCAGAAAAAGACATTTGCATAAGTAACGTAGAAAATTACAGCATGTAATAATACTGATCTTACTTTGTTTGTATAGTGCTTGATAGATGTTTCAGTTGTCTCGCTGATATTGGGATAGTCCCTGCGACCTGTGATTATCTCTGTGATAATGACACCCAAACTGAATATATCTGCCTTAAAGGAGATAGATCGCTGTTCTATGCATTCTGGTGCCATATATCCACTGCAGAAGAATTTAGCATAATCAGCGGTAGGAAATAGTAAAAAAATGAAGCTTCAGCAAGAGGCATAGCTTACGGCGTTCCTTGAAGCTTTGCAGTGACAGTTCTGGATTTTTCTTGACTCAAAAGCCTTGACAAATCAAAATCCGCAATTTTTGGCATCATCGTGTCATCCATCAGTATATTTTGAGGTTTAAGGTCCCGGTGAGCAATACGACGTTTATCATGAAGATAATGCAAACCTCTGCATACTCCCGTAATTATCTTATATCTCTCGTCCCAATCAAGGCCCGAGGTCTCATCTGTAGAAATAGATCAACAAACAGAGAAACTATAATTGAATCTATCACTCTGTAGCTGTTGATATAATGACACATTTGCTTGTGTGTTCTAAACTTCTAATCAGGTAAATTTTGCAAAGGAAAAGAAAAAGATAGAAGATCTCAGTATTGTATTTCAACATACCAGATAGATGCTTGTCAAGGCTTCCATTACAAAGAAATTCTAAGCAAAGCAAACATGCACGTCTTTGAGCCACAACATGTTTCCCACTATATTCCATCACTTCCGACTTGGTTTCGAGACAGTAACCTACAAGTTGTATGATATTTTGGTGCCTGACCTCCGTAAGACAAATGATCTCATTCTCGAATCGGTTATCATTGTCCAGCAGATGTTTATCAAAAATGTTCTTTACAGCAATAGTTTTGCCACTCCGGAGAACTCCCTTCATAGGATGTAGGTAAACAATTCATTATCTTTCTGTTGCCATCGGTTGAAATTGGAGTGAGAGAAGAATGGACATACCTTGTATACGACTCCACACCCACCCGTGCCAAGTACTCGTTCAGTGGAAAAACCGCATGTGATGTCTTCCAAAAAATCTAGTGGCAAAGATATTAATGGTTCTGTTTTTGGATCCTGCAGCCTTTTCTCCAATTTTTTCTCCAATATTTCACGTTTAGTAGCTCCACTACCCATTCCTGATTACTTGAGCACTTTTATAGGAAAAACAAATGTCGGTGCTCCAACTTGAAATTTTTTTTCTCACAAATGCATACAGGAGAACAAGAAACCAGCGCTATTGTGGACTAGCAAATTGATACGAGCTGTTTTGTATGAATCAATATAAGCATATCAAAACGAATGATGGAATAAACAAAGAATTCTTGTCGAGTAAAAATGACAACTTCTAGATAAATCACATTTGATACTAAAAATAATTCAAAATAATTCTATGTATAAATGTAACAGTAATATATTACAAAAAAAATTCACTCAGATACCAGAAAGAAAATATAAAGTATATGCAGTATCCAGATTTATAATGATTATTGATAAGAGTTCTAAACTCCACCATAGGATGAAAACAGAGCAAGTGAGCAACCATGAAAAAGGCAAGAGCAAGCATCTGAGACATTGCTTGCTAGTGAACAAAAATGGAAATAAAATTTTAGGAGAGATGGACTGACCCCTTATTGAGATGTATAGACAGAAAATATGAAGACGGGATAGCTCACAGGTAGGATCTGCTTCAACAAAGGGGATTGCCAGAAGACAGCAGGGGATGAATACATTCCCATCCTCTCCCAAGAAATTTTTTTGCTAATGATTAGGTAACCAGAGCAGTATGCCACAGCAATCCAAACTACCCCATCTACAAATTAATAACAACCAGAGCAGTGCAATGGTTAAAGCAGAGCATACTTGGCGACCTTTAACAGAAAAACAAAGTAATAACAACTGTAAAATAGTAAACAAATACAACACGACGGGATGTATGACTGATGCTTATTGGGTTACGTCTTAGTACTTGATTATCTTTTTATGTGCCTGATGATGTCAACCAAGTGTTGCCTGTGATCTGTGTTGGAGATGAGTAGCAGATATTATTTAGTATGGCTCGCTACCAGGATCGAGGGCACGCTCACCTCACCGGTATGTGGTTTGTTGGGAGAAAAAAAAATCAGATAACTAGTAAAGACGAAAGGAAAGTGGAAATGGCAAAGCAAGACAGTTCTCACAACTTTCAGGCTGGATCGACGGGGATCTACATGTTACTTCAATGGTTCGCTTCCTGTGATCTTCCATGCATCTGCTTCTTACAAAAACCTTCATCTGTGCGTGGCTTGTTGGGAGAAAATCCAGATAGTAGCTCGTAAAGAAAGAGTGAAAAAGGCCGAACCGACAGTTGTCGCTTTACAGGCTCGATTGCAGTGATGGACATGTTTCTTTATTTCAATGGTCCTGCTAAAACATTCCCTGTGACCTGCCAAGCATGATGCTTACAAAAGGTACAAGCCGAAAGAAGAGGACAACAGAGAGGCTTCGTGGCTAGTGGATCGTTTTGTATCTGAACTCTATCTGGAGGCTTTATGTAAAGCTTCCTGGAAATGCCTTAGTGCGGTCTTCCGTGTATCCTTTAATTTCCACTGAATTAGTTTTACTTTCAGGCTAGATAACGGAACTTGCCACCTTGCCCTGATCTGACGTTGCTACTGTCAACTTTGCGAGCATTGGATTGGAAGAGAAACCATTTTTTACTCATCATCAAAGGGGATAATCAAATCTCCACCCAATTCGCAAATAGGATGAGAAATAAACAAACCTCCAACCAAGAGTGATGTTGACGCCGCATCTGACGGCACCTACGGACGGCGTCGCCGCCGCGGTCGTCTCCAGTCCAGGACCGCCTTGGAGGTACAGAACCCACACCGCGTCCATGCCGTAGGGTGCTTCCGCGCCGTAAAGCACGCCGAGAAACGCGTCACCGGCAGGTCGGATGGCGAGGGATCCCAGACTGGACTGGACCGGACGGATCTACCGCCATAGGAAAACTAGTCCTCAACTGCTACGAGCTACTAGCAGCCTAGTATGTTTTACCGGACAGCGAGATCCGGGGTCCCCGCTCTCTTCGGCGCCGCCGGGAAGGCCGACGGACCCCCGGCTAGCTCGGCTCCAGGGCAGAATCCCCTGTTTCGCCAGCTTGTTACTGTTGCAAGAAACAGAGCACTTGTTCTTGCTAGAGCTGTCATCTCAGAAAATTCGTTATGATAAAACACTTCACTTGATGTGCATTCATGCTTTCAAAGCAACAGAGTACGAATTTTTCACATAAATTATCTCAGAAAGATTTCAATCAAGGCATATATATATATATAATAAAATCAATCGTTTATTCAGTGAATTTCATTGTTGTTTCGTTGTTTATTTTTTCCACATTTCCTATAATTAACCCTGACTTTTAAGAATTTTCCTAGGATTCAGGTTCGGTTGACAGTTAAGTTTAACTCCAACTTATGTGCATTCATGCTTTGAAAGCAACGAAGAGTATGATTTTTTCACACACACGAAAAGAAAAAAAAGGATCCCAATCAAGGCATAAATATAGCAAAATCAATCATTTGTTTAGTGAATTTCATTGTTTGTTTTTCACATTTCCTATATCACACGGGCCTGAATTTTTAGAGCTTCTCAGGCAATGGGGTTAGGGATCTCTCAGACAGAGAGCGATAGTGTGCCCTCTGTTCTTTTGGGCCCACAGATCAGTCAGTTCAAGAGATGGATTCAGTTGGCAAAAAAAAATGATCGGGTCATGGTCCACTTTGTCACTGAGCGCACGCATGTCTGGCAAATGTTTGGAAAATTATATGCCACAGAGTTAAACACCTCTGTTGTCACGGAGCGCACTTATGCTGAAATTTGATTTATACTGATGCTTATGTTAATTTGTCGTGAGAGAAAAATACTATTCATTGACTGAAAAGTAGTTCAAGCGAACATGGTGATTAAAGCCCATGCATTACAACAAAGAAACCGCCACTCAATTCATATACACAATTTAGTTCCAGAAAATTCATGATTTAGCATACTTTTTTTTTAGAATTACACAGTACAACGCAAATGCACACAACACGCATGCACGCACACTCATATCTATGAACACACGTATGCAAGCACCCGTGCCAAGTCGAGGACTTGAACCCGGGTGGACATGTTCCATCACAAAGAACCTAACCAACTGATCTATGATCAGTTCGCAGAATTTAGCATACTTGATACAATGATGCATAGATAAAAAGATCACTTAATAACTAATATATGTAGGTCCATATTAATTCAACCTATATGTTCATACCTCGAACCCCCTACGTCTCGTATACTATCTTTGTGCATTTTAAAAAATGCAATTCTTTGTGCATTTTTGGTTAATGTATCCAAAAAGCTAGTCAAATTTATTGGTAAACATATTAATATTTATAACACCAACTGAATATAGTATGAAAATATCTCATGCCAAATCTAATAATACCTATTTGATATAAAAATTATTGGTATTTTTAGTAGTAAATGTGTACGTGCGTTGCAGCGAAATCCAATACATATTAGAATCGGACTCTGTATCTTTGCTAGACGCGAGTTGTTCTAACCGCTATGAGCACGACTCATGAATCTAGGTCACATATTAGATACACAGAGCATGACGCAATACATCTTGAAATCCGACTCCGTATCAATCATCGCTTGATGCGAGCTGTACTAAACTATCCCCTAGTTAAGAGGAGGTGGACAAAAAAGCAGGATAAAATCTTGGCTCTTTAATATTATAGTATAGAGCCCGTGCTAACGCCACGGCTTCATTTCAGAGATGCATATGAAAACAACCAAATAATGACATTTTTTCATAGTTTAAGTCTCACACAATTGTATATGGCCATGTGATAGCAGACTAATATTTACTCACAAATGGATTGCAGAACTGGAACAAATGGAACTTGTAAGAACCAGCACGTGCAATTTCTTTTAGATACATTTTGAACATACTATTTTATTGCTGGATGGTTAACATCATCCACAACCTGAAACTGTGTGCTACTGCTACTATGCAATCCAGTGATCCAATAACATTACTTCTATATCTATAAAGAGATATATATTCAAAGATATACGTGTAGTGTATATTCAGAGACATATTTTGCAGTCTTGCTGGGGCCTGGTCTCTTTGTAGTTTGTACTGACCTTCAAATTCTCTTGAGAGTTCAATAACAACCTGTGTATTGTTGCCAAGGAAATGACCAAAAAACATGATTTAGAAAACAATCTTGACACGTAGTATATGGAGTGTCATCTTACTTGTTTTCACTTTGAATGATGCACAGGGAATTTTTAAAAAAAATCAAAAATCAAATTGATAGGTATGATCTTTCGATAGGTGGTTTAACAGAATCAGTCGCTAGACTACCAAGCAAAACAGATCATCATCACACAAGCAATAACATCACAAAGGACAGTCTGATTAGTGATTTTACCTTATAAAGGGGTGGCAGCTCTTCATACAGAAGGCTACAGAGGGTTGGCTCAATTTGCTGCACGGCGGATAGAGAAGGGCAGCGCTGCTTCTTGGACGATGGAGAAAGACGTCGCTACTTCTCCGTGTCCAAGGTCCAGAATACATGCCTCTTACTTTTTTTCCTTGCTACAGTGCATGAAGAAATTCTACTCCCTCTTGACATGTCCATTCAGCCCAATCATCACTAATGAGGACCAAAGAAGATATCGATGAGCAAAATGTTCAAAACCACAAAATGACATCGATGAGCTATATTATGAGTAAAATGGCCAATTACAAGAAGCTTCAAAAGTGTAATAGTAGCATAACCCAAACTGATGTCATGTAAAAACTGAAAAAGAAGAAAAAAAAACTTAGAGCTGAAAAGTTCCGGTAAG